CTGGGGCTCCCCCGACTTGCGTTGCAGCCGCGCCCGCGGGGCGATGGGCAGAGCTCCCTTGCGCTGCCTTTTGTCTGCGGGGCTTCTCTCCGCCTCGGTGGGCTGCTCGGATGCAGCGCGTGGACAACGTCCCTGTGTGTCCCGGGGCTGAGTGCTGCCCTGTCCCCGTCTGCCACCCCCGGCGCGGGGATGCTTTGCTGGGCAGCCCCCTGTTGTGCCCGGCTCTGTTTAGGGGGGTTGGATGAAAAGCCCCTCAACTTCCTCCAGCCCCTTTCACTCCGGTCCTGGCCCCTTTTCTCATCCTTCCCTCAACGCGAACAAAGCTTTTTCTTCCCTCTCCCTCTGCCCTCCTTGTAGAGGGTTTGTGCCCCAGCAGGCAGGGATGCTGCCCGCAGGGGATGGAGACTGCACCGCCTGGCTGGGCAGAGGAGGAGGAGGGCATGGGAAGGAAGGAAATGGTCTCTTAACCAAGCGGCGCGAGGCTAAGTCAGCGGCTCTTTGTCTGAGCTGTGCCTTGTCCAGTTTCCTCCTGTGCGGCCGTCATCCTAGCGTGCCTGCCTGGCTTGTGGGGGAAGCGGCACGCGAGCCCTTCCATCTGGGCACGGCCGACGCGTGACAGTGGGAGTCCAGTAGGAAAAGTGATGGCCTTGAATTCACTGGCGGGTTCAAGCCGGATCCCCGCTGACGGATTGCCAACTCTTGTGGTTGTGCTAGTGGTGGAGGCTGTGGCCAAGTGAGGATCCTAAATTGTCCCCTTCAGATTCAGCCTCAGCAACAAACTGTGTTTCGAGGCCACCCTCCCCCCCGCAGCCACAAGAGTCTCCAAGTGGCAGTGGGAGCGTGAGATGGAAAACTGGCTGGCTTGCTTTTGTCTCCTTCCACCACAAAATGCGCTCAGAAATTTCCCCACCGCAAAATGCTCTGAGAAATTTCCCTAGGGCTATGACCCTGGGGGGTTCAGGCATGCAGACAACACTTTTACAGGGAGTCAGGAAACCAAATTTCTGGTTTGGTTCTGCTGTTGGACTCATGCATGGGCTTGGGTGAATCACTTCAGTGCTCCCTTCCTATTTGCCTGCTGTGTCCGTGCTCTTTGACTAGCCCCCCAGTTAGATATATTCCTGCTTCTCAAAGGCATTTGTGTAGAGATATTGATGCCCAGAACGTGGGCAAACATGTAATGCTCTTTTAGTGATATCCTCTTGTATTTTGGGAGGAGGAGGTAAGGAGGCAGAGAGGCAGTTTTGCCTGTTTCCAAACTTGGCGGTTACTTAACCCTTTCTCAAGGTCCCCATCCCCTTCTGCGCAGGCATCGCACCAGTCTGGGAGAGAAGGAATGCCACTGACTGAGCCACACAGTAGAGCAGGCAAGGAGGATGGGTTTGGCTGTGTTCGAAAGCAATGATAGGGAAGAGGGAAAAAAGGCAAGAATGGAGTAGCTTTTGTTCTTAGGGTGGAGAAAGAGAATTTTCCTAAAGATGTAGTGAAAAAAACAATAGGAATTGGTAAAGTCCTGTTTTTGTGGGGACAGGAGAACAGGTGCTGAAAATAGCACCATCACCAGACTTGCAAACTTGAATGGTGACCTTGCCAGTAGCAACCAATTTACAGCCCCCTTCCTTTTTTTAAGTGACCATTTGCATTAACATAATGGGCTTAAACATATATAGCTGAAGTCTGTGTTCAGGGCTGGCCTTATGGGTGGGCAATGAAGGCACCGTGGTCGGGGGACAGCATGCTTACAGGCATGCATGCATACATGCATGTCTGTACGTGTAAGCAGCAGCACTTTTCCCTTGCCCCACTCCACCCTGGCCGATCCCCGCCCCAAACAGGAGGAGTAGTGCCCAACCCAGCCCACTCCCTGTCTCCAGCTGCTGCTCAGGAAGAACTGGGATGGATGCATACAGGCAGGGTGGCACCTGCTCTAGTCCACCCACCTTGCTCCTGCACAGTGGCAGCAGTGTCTGCCTGGCACACTGCACTGGTCTGGTTCCCTGCCGGATTGTGCTCTGTACCCCCGCCAACCTGCCTCTGCTTTTGCCTGCTGCTAGCTTTGAGGTGGGGGAGATGCCAAAATACAAATTTGCCCAGGGTGCTATTTTCTTTAAGGCTTGCCCTGTCTGTATCTGCCTTTTTCCCAGACCCGAGGAAAGGTGTTTTGTGCCTGAGAGCTTGTCTAACCTCTTGCCTGACTCTGCAGTGGGTCCAGCAAAGGGTATGATCAAACCAATCTTGCTTCCTTCATTGAAGGGGAAGTAGGGTGCATGATGGTCATCAGCACCACCAGAAGAGGAAGTAGGGTGCAATATGGTCATCAGCACTGAAGAACGCAAGGGAACATAAAACCAAGGATGAGCTCAGTTTTTGATCTGTTGAGCTGGTGTTGAGTGGAACTCCCAGGATAGTGTGTGAAAGAGGAAACCGTGATGGTGGCTAGAGATGTAATTCAAACTAATGGGTGAATCAGTGGACCATGAATCAAGAGGCCAAGGTTTTGTTTTACTTCTGCCAGTGACCTGTTCTGTGATGCTTAGCAAATCACTCCTTCCAGCTGTTTGTATTTCTTTTTCACTTAGATTGCAGGTTGTCTGGGACAAGGGCTGTCTCATGTGTGTTCAAATAATATCTGGCACAGTAGGTCTCAGGTTTTGGTGCCTCTAGATGCTAATATAGTACAAACAGCTAATGAGGATGAATTACAGGATGGGTCTTTAGAAGTGATGAGATTATCCAAGGAAAAGGCATAGGATTGGATTGCTGAGAGAACAACTGTAGGATTAAGGGACCACAGAAATCATGTAAAAAAAGCAGATCCAGAACAATAACCAGATGGACTGTGGGAAAAGTAGTGGAAGGATCAAGGGAGAATAAGATGGAGGCTTTAGATTTGGTTATGATGAAATGGCCAGAGAGAAACAATTTGCATTAATGGTGTGAAGACAGCCTTATTCATTGCAAATGCCATTTGAAAAGAAATTGTGATTTAGGGAGGGTGTACTCCAGCCAAATTAGAACAGGAGTCAGAAAGGGGATGATATGGAGTGTTAAAGATACTGCTGAATTCTGTGAAGGAGAAGTTGGCCATGGCCAGATGAGTAGGGGCTTTCAGGGTTAGTGCCATAAGCAGCTGCATGTGGGAAATGTTAAAACGTGCACTGCAGTTTTACAGCGTGGGGCCAAAATTTGCTACTGGGCAATCTTGATAGCAAAACAACAACAGGAAAAAATTTGTCACGGTGCTTGTGACAGGAGCATGTGCCCAGCCACACGGAGTCTTGGTTCTCCAGGAAGATGCTCTGACTGCTGGCCGGAGCATCTCAACTCCTTCAGTTGTGCCCTGGCTTCTCCAGCATGCCAGGAATTGGGAGGAGCTGGGCAAGGGAAGTTTTCCTAAAGCAGGACAGTTTGTTCCTCCACATAGTGCATGTGCAGGAGCATGCACTGAGGCAAAAAGTAGTGGCACAAAGCTGGGCTGTTACTATTTTTGCTGCTGCAAGCACACATCCCTGCACATCTGGACATGGCAATTGAGCGCAACCTGAGGAGCTGGGGTATTGGTTCGAAAGGAAGCCAAGTGTTGGTTGGATGTAGAAGGCAAAGTCAGAGCTTGGGCTAACAGAATAAAGTATGAAGAATGGCCAAGGCAAGTTCCATCTATCTCATCCACTTGAAGATCCTGAGAACAGGGAATAGAAGGTGGAGATATGTGCTGTTGGCAGTGGCCCTGTATAATTTCTACACTGTTTATCTTATGCCAATTGTCATACCATTTTAATTTTTCAGGACAAATTGCTACTTCTACTGTATAGTAAATGGTGGTATATATAGGACATCTATCAGCAAACCAATAATGTCTCTAGTTAAACATCTCTAAATTGAGACCCTGTACAATGGGATTCAGTCTAGGTGTTGCTGGACTGTGCTGTGGTTATGGCAGAATTGTATCATAGTTAAGGATTATAGTAGTTAACAATATGCCACCTGCCAGTTTTGAGCCACTTCAACTGCCTGTGTTACTTTTTCTTGTAAAGCATTTTTGATGAGGAACATTTAGTGTGGAACTGTGTAGGCTCATTTAAAATACAAGAAAATGAAGATGTTTGGGGTAGGGGTAGGAGTAGGGATGCTCAGCAATAAGGGACAAGTGGCACAGAAAGGCAAAAATGAAGAGAAATGGATAAAAGAAACAAAGGAGACAGATTGCCTCAGAATAAATGGGTGCTGAAGAACACTGCTAAATAAAAGTGACATACATGGACTGTCAGTGAAAGAAACAGAATTAAAGAGAACTAGATCAAGGCTAAATAGATCATAAGACATAGTGGAAAGACAGGAAAAATAGGAAAGTATAGGAGGAAAGAAATGTGAGAGCAGCAACCCGTTGAAGCTGTTCTGGTTCACTAATACATTCTGGGCCTTATTCATCTTCTTTGTGTGGCAAACTCTCATTAAATTTGGTAGGTGCACAGCCCCTGAGGCAAGTTTATTATGTCAGTTAAAATAGGATGTGATAGGAGAACTGTTAGTTAAAATAGGATGTGATAGGAGAACTTTTTTACTTTTACTTTTTCTTTGTGATTTTTTCCACTCTTTCATGATGAATAACTAGCTACATTTTTTCCAATTTTTCCACCCATCTAAGCTTACTTTAAAAGTATCAGGAATATCTTCTTAGTCTTACCTTTCCCTGTTTATGGAGTCAGATTAATGTAAATTCAACCTATTTTGTGTTCACATAACCACACAGGCAGGTATGTGTTTGTTTGTTTTGTGACAATTTACAGGTATGGATTTAAAGTGACTTAGACCAGCTAACACAATGGATGCTGAGTATATTTTTAAGCCCTAATTTACAATTTTTTGAACATATCCAAAGCTTTAACAAAATACTTTTAAATGTGTAGTAGTGTGCTATTGGAATGGGATAAGAAAGTCGCAATGAAAATGATGAGTTCTTAGTTTTAGCAAACAAGTGGCTATTAACCACTTCCAAAATGGAAAAGAAGAATAAAACTAAAGTTAGGCACAACTTTTCCCTCTTCTTCATTCCTATGTTTGTTTTGTGATTAATTGGAGTTGTTTGTGCGGGAAAAGAGTGTTTTACTCTGGTGGTAGTGTGTGTGTATTTGTGTATAATAAATTAACTATATTCTGGTCACACAAAGTTTCTATCTAATTACTTAAAATAGGACAGAGAAAACAACAGTTTGCACATCTCCAAATTAAGGACGAAATAAAATCTGTTGTTAGATAATGCTATTTCATAGTTTCAGAGTTGTTAGGGGCTGGAAGGGACCTTACAGATGATTGGGTCCAGCCCTGCTGCCAGGGCCAGGATCAGGGGCCCAAGGCAGAGTCACAATCTGCTCTCCACGTGTCCCTGCCTGTTGCAGGAACGCGAGAGGACTAAATTGCGGATCACGGCTCAGCCCCATGCTATCACAGCTACCATTGCCCAGCCTACTCCTAGATGTCACTCCCCATCCATCCATGGCCTCATCCCATCTGTCTGGCTAAGTTTACTCTGCTAGCAGGTATCCCGGCCAGTGTCCATGGAGACCCTGCTCCATCCTGTACCCCCAGTGGCGGGTTTAGGGTGGATGACCCCAGGACCGGATAGGATAAA